TTTTTGTTAATTACTTACCACCATTTTGTAGTTTTCGTCCTTCTTTAGCTAATTTTCTAGTTCTTCCAGGTCAATTTCTGGCCTTACAGGATTCTTTTCTTACAAAGGGTGTATATAATTCTGGTACCACTGTATTTTAGTTTCAATTTGCAATTAGTGCAATTAGTATTAACCATACTAATAATTTCAGACTGGCAATTCACATTTTAGATAGCATGTGTTCTAACATCACTTGTAGGTTCTAAAAACTAAAAATAAAGCAAAATTTGTTTATTTTTGTATAGAACACACTAGGCAATTGATTTTCATTAAATTTTTTACCTATTCAATGAAGCGATGCATTGCCAAGCTAACAACCATGTAACAACAAGTAGTAACAAAGTCAAGCGTGATCAAAAAATTTGTGGGTTATGTCTTTCTTCTCTTCTATTAAGGTTGTGAATGATTTTCGGACTGAACACTCAACATTAGTGAGTTGGCTAGCGAATTATCAGATCAGCACTTGGGAAAAATTCATATAGATATGTATATAAACATGGTTTTACATGTATTTGGTGTTAATTTTTACCTGTAAGCATTTAGAACGTTCTCAGAATATGAGGTACATGCTGGGTATATGACTTTTAGTATCTTCTAAGAAGTTCCTGTTATAGCACGTGCTCAGTATATACTTTTGAGAATATACTTTTAAGGCACGTACTCAGTACCCATACAGCACAAACACATTTCGGAAATATTTCAACAATGTTACATTGAAACATTTGCAATGTTGTATAAATATTACAAAACATCCCAGAAACATTTCTGAAATATGCCTGAAACGTAAAAATGTCCCATAAATATATTTCACAGTAATATTTCTGAAATAAATTAGAAATATTTTAGAGATATTAAATAGTAATATTTCAGAAATGCATTCTAGTTTTTTCTATTATATTATTAGACTAAAAAAAGACATTGGAAACTATACATGTTTAAAATACACAAAACTCAAACATTGATTCTTAAATAAATAAATCAATATCTTTTAAAGAATATTTCATAAAATATAGAAGTGAATTGCTTCATTTCCACCAATTCCTTTAAATGCACTAATCTGAAACAAAATATAGGCAATTAAAAAGGATTTATACAAATTATTTGATTATAACAATAGTTTTATTAATATTGTTTTAAATTAACTATGAAGATCCACCTAAGCAAGCATTATTTATATAGTTCTCACCTTAATTTCTAAAGACATATTCTGCTTTCCATATAACAAGTTCACAACTGTCTTCATATTCACAACGCATGAATATCAAAAACCAACAACTCAAATCTATAATTATTTGTTTCTAGCTGGTGGCTGGACAGGGACATGAAACAGAAATTCTTCTTAATTGTTGGCCTTTTACAACATAACCTGTTTAGTAACATTTTGTGTAACATGTATCATGTATACCATGTTTCAGAAATATTTGCAGTGAAATATTTAACTAAAATATTTCAGAAATATTTCAGATACTTGTGCTTGAAATGTTATATGTTTGAAACGGTTGAAATATTTCTGAAACATTTCTGAAATACTGTGTGCTGTATGGGTATATACTTTTTAGAATATACTTTCAAAGCACGTACTTAGTAGTGTGTCCATGGATGGGGTCCTCAAGGGGGAAAAAATCTTTATTATTCATTTTACGACCAAAAGTCACTCTTTATAAAAAGTTCTGCTTGTTGAGAAAATGGAGTTGCCTCATAAAAATTTTAGATTAAATGTACAGGGTGTTAATAAATTAGGAAAATATGAAAATGCTTCAAGAGGGAAGTACCATTATTTATTATTTTTAACAAAAATTTTATAAAACAAAGTTGTTTATAAACTATCATAGAGACTAAATACAAATTTTTAAATAAAAATTCCAATATTTTAAAATAGAATATTAATAATTATTACTTTCATGTAATAATTTGCATTTTACAAAAAAAATCAAGATAGCCGATTTTGTATACGTTCATGTTATGTCAGCATTTTATTTACATCTGTCAGTATTTTTGAAAATGTTAACCAAAGAAGAGCGTATTTATTTAATACAATGTTACGGTATTGGAAATGTGTCTTATCAATACGCTATAGATGTTTTTCATGGAAAATTTCCTAATACGCCCGTGTCAAAAAAAGCATTGCGAAAATTATTTAAAAAATTTAATGAAACTGGATCGGTGATGAATGTAAAGAAATCAAAGATAAAATACGACGAAAATGACGCAGCTACATTATTACCTACACGTAATTTATACGTAATTTTTAAGGAAAACAAAATTATACCGTTTAAGCCAAAGATTCGGCATACACTTGAACCTGGAGATGAAGAGAGACGTTTAGAGTTTTGTTTATGGATAGGTGAAAACCGAAGATTTCATAGATTTATTTTTTTACCAATGAACCCAGACAACACACCAAATCCCAAAGATATCCACAGAATATCTTTTGTGGATATCCAATATATCCACAGGATATCAGAAATATTCCGTGGATCTAATATGGATATCCAAATGTCCGTCTATATCCAGATAGAAGATATCCTCTATGGATATTCAGCAAAATATCTAATTAGTATCTTCCAGACAATACAAGAAATCCCAGAGATATCCACAGAATATATTTTGTGGATATCCAACCAAATGTCCGTCTATATCCCAGGACCAGGATATAGAATTCAGATATTCAGCGATATATTTTATAGGTATCTTTAGAACACATTCATAAGTAACCAAATGATTATTGAATAACGTCGAAAGAAAATAGAGATAAAAAATATTGTCCAACAATCTGCCTTGAGTTTGCCCACTAAGGAAAAAGTCATCCTTATTAGGACTCTTCAGCAATAAATGGAAATTCTCGACTCCAGTCTCTAATAGAGTCTTAATGCGAAAAAAATTTCGATCAATTCAATTATGGCGGGTTGAGCATGAGTAGATACGAAAGTGGTATCGCCATCTATACTTAGGAAGCAAAATCAAAAATTACATCTAGTAGATATCCACGATGGTTTGCGTCCGCGCTAAAACTTTGATATATGTGGATGTCCATGGGATATTGAATACACCTTAAAAAAATTAATTTTAAATATCTGAACGGTACTATTAGCCACAATGGCGAGCACAATGGCGTAATTTTTTAATAATTTGCTATATAATTACTATTATTTATGGACATTTGCATGTCTATAAATTACATTTTATGGATATAAAATAGATATCCACCATAGACTGGACATTCAGTGGATATTGGGATGTTCAGTAGATATCCAAAGGATTTGGTGTGCTGTCTGGGAATCTACATTTTGCACAAACGGGCACGTATCTTCACAAAATAGTCGTCATTGGGCTTACGAGAATCCTAATTATGTGATAAACAAACGAAGTCAACGTTACAAAAAAGTTAATGTATGGTGTGGAATTTTTTTGGATCGGATCATTGGTCCATATTTTATAGAGGAAAATTTAAACCAACACGTGTATTTGAACATTTTGGAAAATTTTGTCTTACCATTTCTTAATACTTTAGATCCAGAAGTTCGTAGTAATATGTTTTGGCAACAAGACGGCTGTCCTGCTCATTGCACAGCCTTGGTCACACAATGGTTAAATGATCATTTTGGCGCAAGGTGTATAGGGAGGTTCGGCCCAATTAATTATCCAACTAGGTCGCCTGCTCTTTCATTACTAGATTTCTCTTTGTGGGGTGCATTAAAACAGAAGGTTTACTCAAATAATCTTCCACATGATAGAGAAATATTAAAAGAGCGCATAGAAGAAGCAATCCATGAACTGAATGTGCCGCAAATCATTCGTAAAGTGTACGGTAAATTTATTAAGTTAGCGGAAAAATGTGTCGAGGTGGGAGGTAGTTATGTAGAATAATTTTAAAATATTGGAATTTTTATTTAAAAATTTGTATTTAGTCTCTATGCTAGTTTATAAACAACTTTGTTTTATAAAATTTTTGTTAAAAATTATAAATAATGGTACTTCCCTCTTGAAGCATTTTCATATTTTCCTAATTTATTAACACCCTGTACATTAAATCTAAAATTTTTATAAGGCAACTCCATTTTCTCAACAAGCAGAACTTTTTATAAAGAATGACTTTTTGTCGTAAAATGAATAATAAAGATTTTTTCCCCCTTGGGGACCCCATCCATGGACACACTGTATACTTCCTAGAATTCACTTTCAAAGTATATACTAGGTATGTTCTAAGAACATTCTATAAAGGACATACCAAAAAGAACATAGACAGAACTTTCTTAGTATATTCATAGAACATTTGTATTAGGTATATATGTGGGTTTAAAATGTAAAAATCCAAAAACCTTAAAATACGTTATTATTTATTTATGATCAGTAGTTACGCAATTCCAATTTTCAAGTTTCCTATTAAAAAAATCTATACTCCCATACAAATGTTCACCCCAATTTCTCCCCCTTAAAATGTAAAATTCAAAACCCTGAAATAAGCCAATATTTACTTTCTACAGCATTTATGCACCAGCCGCCACTTTCCTAGATGCGACTTATTTTCATAGATATATACCTAACCAAGACTTATTTTCGATCACAGAAACTGTGGTTAAATTTTCTGTAGATATGTTTGTTACACCCTGTAGAATCAGTAGATTTATTAATGATAAAATTACAGGACAAAACCGTTGCAGAATTTTACAATAACAGAATCATTCCCTGGCATCATCTGGCGGCTATTTCGAATACCAATAAAAAGATCACTAGTTTTTACCCCATTCATGGTTGAATACATTGCTCAATGATGGCACGTTTGTGCATTAAACGCCATTTTTATTTCCAAATTATAATTTTAGAAAAACTAAGGGCTAAGCGAAGTATGACTAACCACGTATGAATAATCCATCCTCCATGGAATAATCTAACAGAAATAAAAATAGTTCATTGGATGGATTTTTTTTTATTTTAACAATAACACAAAATAGTTGGCTGCCCAATTTTATAATGTTATTTAGGTATTAATTTGTAGAAAGAAGAATAGTGACATGTGACCTTGACTTTGACAATTCTGTTTTGTTATGTGTAGTAATTTTTAAAGTATAGAAATGTTTTTTAATTCCAATTTAATTTTTTTTTTAAATGTTACTTTCAAGATTCAGTGTTAATAACACAGTCCAAATACACAAATATATCATTTTGAATACATTTTTAGTATAATCCTAGAAGTAAAAACCGAATTGGAGTTAATTGGTTGTCGCGATAACATAGTAGGTGAATTACATAAATTTTAAAATTCATTTTCTTGGAAATATTATATATCAGTGTTTTTTTAGATTGAGAAATTTAATCATGCAAATGCTGCCTTTAATTACACAGAAACTATGAATATATTTTATATGCAAAAACGGAGATGTTTCAATATAGTACTATGTTTTGGATTTGCTATGTTACTGGTAATCCTTTTCCAAGTTCCATACGTTCCTATAAGAATGTATCGTCTCTTTTACCCAAGAGATAGCATTGTTTGTTATCGAATACAAACAGAATCGCTTCCCGAAGTAACGAACATAAGTATAAGAAAAGGAAAATCAATTTTCTTTCATGAAACATCCTGTAAATCTTTTTATAACGACAAAATATCTATTTCATCTCGACAAGCCTGTGCAGTAGAAAGTGCTGCTCGAACAAATCCAAATTATGATGTGTATCTGTTATTTACTTCACCAGGGATCTTTAAGTTTGAAGGTGATGAATCTGATAATATTTTAAAAGGGCTTTTATCATACAAAAATATTAAAATTATGCATTTGGATTATGAAAAGTATACTAAAGGATCCCCTGTCGAGGATTTGTTTAGTTCTGGCAAAATAGAAGATTCAATTTATGCCCAGTCTCATGCCAGTGATGTACTTAGGTAAGATTTATAATCTTTGCTATGTTTTATCTCCATTGGCTGCAGTACTTTTCTTATAAATATGAGCATGCACTTTCTTTAGGATATACTTACTATAGGTACATTCTATCCTCATCTAATTTTATTTTACTAATATTTGATATTAAGAAACATTTATTATTTTGCATGAACATATTTTTATAGATATAAAAATGTTATCTGCATGTATAGTTACTGCTTTCGGCAATTTTTGTACATTCTAGTATATCTACTTATTTACTATATACAGTAATGGTAAAACTATTTTGATATCCTTATTCTCCATTTATTTTATTTATATTTTTGATAATTAGCTTTAGTGTAAATTTGAATAGAACACTGGTTACATATTGAAGGAGTTAATGGAAAAAGGTTTCAAACCATAATCTATGTAATTAGACTTATGGGTATCACTGAATTCACCTCCAAATTCTATGTTACATTTTATTATGAAATAATGTCTTACACATCATGAGATATTGAGTATTAAAACAATGTAGGGTCAATTGGGGAAAATGGAAATGGTTTTCATAGTTTTAAAAATTCAGTTTAGTTTTTGACACTAAATGATGTATTCCTGCTTCACAAATTGAGATATAAATAAGTTAGACCCTCTACTTTAAGGCTCGTATATTTTTTTTTATAAGTATAGATGTGTTTTTGGAAAAAACAATATGTCAACATATATCCTGTTTACAATTACCCCAGACCTGTCGGGGCAAATGTAAATGCGTTTCTTCTTAGCTAAGCATTGCATTGCTTAAAGTCATGGGGCAAATGTGAACAAATTAGTTTTTATACATTTTGTAACAAACATATGCAATTTGAAGGCATGTTTACATTTACCCCATATTATCCCAAACTAAATAAAAAAATCTTTATTTTGGTTACTTCACTTCAAAATATGTAGCTACAAACAGCAATATAACTTATTTATACATATATAGGTTATACAAATAAACTAAAAAATGGTAAACAACTACCTAATACAAATGAAACGTAAGATCAAGATAATTAACTAGCTCTTCTCCTGTACTAGCACAGTTCCCAAAAATTTATACAAAATTCTTTCCCCTTTCATCTAAATCCCAGGATCTGGAAGTATTTCTACAATCTGATCTATAGAAATGTAGCTAACATCACTTTCGTTATTGGTAAACTGCATTTCGGATGAATCCCAGGACTATAGACCTGTGATTTTTATTTTGTTGAATCAATACCTTCAACCAAACATATTTGAATGTAGTGGCATTTCTTTTTCCTCCTTTGAAACAAACCAACACAAATTTGCCAGTTGCGAAATATTATCTACCGTTTCAATGTCTAAGTATATAATAATAATTGTCATTTATTGAACTGAAAATTCAGTCCAATAAGCTATCGACTGAAGTCCAAGTATATCTTTGTCAAATGTTTCATTCCAGGAATCTTCATCGCTCTCATGGAAACTTAACTAACTTTTATTATCTGTCGATTCTTCTTTTTGTTTTCTTGTTTTTGTTGGTTTGTCTCCTTATTTTTAATGTTTTTTCCGTGATTGTTTCTTGTTTTTTTGCATTTTTCAGATTTGGTTTTCTTTTTCTCCTTTGCTTCTCTTAGTCATTTCAGCACTTCATTTGAGATCAAAACTTCCACACATGTATGTGTTGTTTTAATCTGGGGATTACCAACTTTTCTTGTATATTAACAGGTTTTAAGGGCACGACTTTATGAGGGATAAAAATACTGGAAAGGGTAATATTACTTGGAGATGTTGATGACTGAGTCTTCTTGGAAACTTAAAATGAAGTTAATGGCCGAAAGTTTTTGAAATGTCTTTATTGTAAGTAAAATATTGTTTTTATAGTGAAATTAACTTCCAAATATTGTTTACATTTACCCCGAAACCTTGTTTACATTTTCCCCATAAGCACAGAACCTTGGGGTAAATGTAAACACCTGTAAAAAGATGCAAAAAAATGTTATTTTTCAGTTATTTATTCTTCAAAGTTTAAACTAAGCCTAACTCTTATTGTACCTTACATAATACTTATTTAAAAAAACACGGATTCAAAAGAAAAAAATGTCGCCACACTACCAAACTAACAGGCATCGATAAATGCACTGTCTCAAAATTATCTTGAAAATACAGAAACACGTTAAGCTGTCGTCACGAGCTGACCGGATATGAAAAGTGAAGGAATGGCTTCGAAGAATTAGCGCCGGAGGAATTGTTATTTTTGTCAAAAATTCCTTAAATTGCAAAAAACTAATTTTTATTAAAAGTTTCTCTGAAGGGTGTCTGTTTAAATGTTGTGGAATTACATTCAGCCTAAATAATATAAAATGTTGTATAACCTGTATATATCGATCGCCTGACAGTTCCACTGAATTATTTTTACATAAAATGTGTGACGTTTTAACTGTTCTGTGAAAAAAACCTGTCAATGGATCTAATGGAGAGTTTTATTTTACAATGTCAAAATATAGAACCGATCAGAGTTTAACTAGATAAAAATGGGAAAATTTGTAAATCAAAAATAGATTATTACAAGACTTTTATTTAGGTGATTACTATGGGCTTACTATAACGCTAAATCACTCTACGCATTCTCAAAAAGAAAATAATGTGAAATACTTCGTATGCAAATTTATGTAGAATGTCCTTAAAAATGTCACAGGAAGATTTCTCACTTGTTTTTGAAGCTCTATTGGATATTGATGAGATTTTTGAACATAATTTCCTACCATGTAAATCAGACTTGTCCAATGGCAAATAAAAATTACTTTGAAAACAGACGTAATACAAAATGGGTAACTAATGAAATGCCTAGTTAAAATGGGAAATAATTTAAAAAATATGTATTGGCTCACAAAAAATGTTTCTGATAGTCATATATTGGAACAATACAAAATAGAAAAAAAGAGGTATGCACAAAAAATTAATAAATGCAAAAAGCAATTTTTTCAAGAAAATTTAGCTAACAAAAATATGCAACAAAAACAAAAAATTTGGGAAACTGTTAAGTCCAAACTGAACAAACAAAAAATTGCTAATGATTCTAATGGTATAAGATTAACAGAAAACTTAAATATTGCTAATATGTTTGTAGGATACTTTTCTTCAATTGCTAGTTATGCAATTAAAAATCACTTTCCCAACACTACTTTTATTAATTACACTACTATGTTTGTTCCAAACACATTTCAGTTTATAGAAGTGAATTATGAATAAGTGATAGAAACAATTGCATCTCTAAATAATACCAATGCAGAAGGAATTGAATACCAATGCAGAAGGAATTGATTGCATTTCCACAAAAATTATTAAGACAATTGCCCCATACATTGCGAATTCATTAGCTTATGTAATCAATAATTCCTTGTTACTCAGAGTCTTCCCAAACGCTCTTAAAATTGGGCTTGTAACACCAATCTTTAAAAAAGGGTGTCTCTTGTCAATGGATAACTACAGACCTATTATTACAGTCCCCACTATAATATGTAAAGTTTGTGAGAAATGTGTAGGTCAACACATGTTATCTTTTCTAAAAAAAATTAATATTCTAACTGAACTTCAACATGGTTTTCTTCCAGACAGGTCAACGGAGAGTGCAACTACTGCTTTCTTAAACTATATATATTGACAGCTAGATAGGGGGCAGTATGTGGGTACACTCTTCTTTGACTTGTCCAAAGCTTTTGACACGACATATCCATTGTTCAAAATAAATTACAGGCATTAGGCTTCAGGGGCATAATTTTAAAATGGCTAAGCTCTTATTTGCATTCACGTCAGATATGTGTAAAAGTGGGTAACTGTAAATCGGAATTGAAAAGTCTAACCCGAGAAGTACCACAAGGCTCAGTTTTAGGACCACTAATAGTTTTGTTATATGTAAATGATCTTCCTCAACATGTGTCTGCAGATTATACCATACTCTATGCCGTCGATACCACTTTAGCATCTCATGCAACTTCTCCAGATGAGCTTCAGCAGAAGCTTCACTTAGTAGCTTCATATTGTTCAACTTGGTGCAATAAAAATTCCTTAATCTTAAATTCTGATAAAACAGTTGCTCTTCAGTTTTTTTCAAGGAATAGAATTTATAATATATGTGTAAAGGTAAATTGCACTGATGTCTACTTGTAGCAGAAAACAACATTTCTGGGGTTACTGGTAGATAGTGATATGAGCTGGGAATCAAATATTAATTACATCTGTAAAAAGCTTAATAGCGGTTGTTATGCTCTATCTCAATTAAAACAGATATTTACATTTAACCAACTTCTACAGCTACATTATATAATTGTATATTCATACATATCATACAATATTACACTCTGGAGAAATTCTCCTGCTGCTACAAGAGTATTTATTTCACAAAAGAGAGCAATAAGACTTATCTTTAATCTGGAATCAAGATAAACATGCAGGGATCATTTTATTAAGTATCACATACTCACTCTACCCTCAATATATATTTATAAGACAATCTTATATACAAAACAAAAATTAAGCTAAAATTTTCAGAAACAATGATTGTCACAACTATCCTACAGCTTTAAACAAACATTAAAAAAATTTTTAGTAACAAAATGTTTTTATAATATTAAGGATTATTACTAGGTAACGTAATATATATGTATAGTATATATGTATATGTGTATGTATGTATGTATATGTATATTTAAATGTAGATTTTAAAATGTGTTTTGTCCACTACATGTATCTTGACATCCTACATCATTGTATAGTGATAAAAAAGGACCAATAAAGATTTATTATTAACTGACAATGAACTTTAGTTTGTTCACTGTTAAAAGGGTTTTATGTTTTGCAGTACAACAAAAATGTTGTCTTAGAAAATAAATAGGTACAATGCAATAAGGGGTTGAGAAACTAAAAGCTATTGTGACTAATATACAGTTACACTATAGTAGGTACTCTGGTAATTCAAAATTGAGTTAAGCCCATATAAACCCTTTTTACATTAACGACA